CCCCCCCCCCCCCCCCTTCCTCTCGGTCCCACAAACCCCCTGGTGGTGGGTGTGGGATATGGGTTATTTGGCTTGAGAGGAGAGGCGACAATGTGAAGACTGAGCAAGACAAAGGGGACTTCTCAGCAAGTCAGAAAGGGCTTCCGTGCCACAGCCAAGGCACCACACATTCAGCCCTTGGTATGCAGTGATAAAGGGTGTATTCAATGAGTAGAAAAAATCAAGTTGAAAGATCAGCATTAAGGATCAACCCAATAGACCCAAGCATATTAAGTTCAATAAACATAAAACTAAACAATAGGTTGCCCACAAACCCTAGGGCTTATTCTCGATATCAGGCATTGATTATTTTTAAGTAAATGATAATGTCAAATGCCAATGCCTTAACCCATGTCACTAGATGAGAATGTCAACCTTAAGCCGTTGTTCCACCAGTAGCCATGGCAAGCTCATCAGACACAACTTAAGACTTAAAAAACTACTAACAATAAAAGTCCCCCCCCCCCTTCTTTTTCCCGGTCCCACACGAACTCCCCTGCCAACCTCCTAATGGTGGGTGTGGGAGATGGGTTTCTTGGTTAGGGTTTTGGGTAAGACTGAGCAACACAAAGGGGACTTCTCAGCAACTCAGGGAGGTGTCCGTGCCACACCCAAGGCGCCCCTTGGGATTCAGTAGTAAAGGGTGTTATCAATGAGTAGAAAAAATCAAGTTGAAATATCACCATTAAGAAGACACAAGCATATCAAGTTCTTTAATGATTAATCTGTAACAACTAACTGTCTATCTCCAAAGACAAAATACTTTCTTAATAACGAAAAAAAAAAACGTTCATAATAAACAGAAAATTAAACAATAGGTTGCCCGCAAACCCATGGACTTATTCTCAATCTCAGGCATTGATTATTGCAAATAAAAGCTGAATACATCTTACAATGCAGCTAATCATTTACAAATCATATCATCATTGCATCTGTTATTCGAACAAGTTTATACCCTTTCAAATATACTATTATTGTTCGATTACATGTTGCACAACATATTTGTATATTTATTGACTTATTTTGGTAATAACATATACAAATTCTTCACAACTATGTTCCATGTCCAACTCAAGGGATAAAATTCACTACAAGATGCTCATATGCATCACAATAAAAACTATTAAATAAAGGCCAAAAAATGTCAAATATGAAATGCAACAAATAAAAACAGAGCACTGAATTGAACCGTGAATAAAAGCATCAAAATTTTCTCCAAAAGGATGAGTACAAGAGATAAAACATAAAAACAAGAAATCTTTCTCAGGTCGCATACATTAATTGGCATTATAAGAATTAGACATCAAACAACCAATACCATGAAGTGACAATGAACAAGATGACCTATAAATTATAAAGACAAAAGGACATAAAGAAAATCTAGAACCACATATCTGAAGAAAAACCTTAATTGAAATAACGGGTTTTCGTCGCCATCCATGCTCAAAACCCTTTAGCTAACTTCAATTAAGTCTTCTCTTCCCTTTCCCTTTTTCTGCAGAATAACTCAGATTACAGATCAAATCAACCCTCTGACTCGTCCTTCTTTCCACCATTTTCTCCTTGTCTCTCCTCCAACAACCTTCCAGCCTCCTCATCAGGCTGTGCAACCTTCTTCTGTGCTTCCTTCGCCTTAAGAGCCTGCAATTTCGAATAATTGTAATACCCAACAGCCAAGAAAGCCAATCCATACCCAATCAAGTTCACCGGGGTCACAGTATCCTTAATCACCGACCAAGAAAATGCAATCAACAACCAATCTTTCACCACCCCAGCCACATTCATAGTCAATGCTGAAGTCTTCCCAACAAGCAAAAACACAGCCAAATTCAAGGCGAAAGCACAAAAAGAATTGGTCCCGAAAATCACATAATCAAAGTGAAAGCTTGAAGTCTCCCTCAATATTGGATATTCCACAATAATCCACGGTACAGACAAGAAAACCAAACAACAGGGCGCAACATAATAGAGTGAAGTAATAGGATTCAATGTAATACCCTTTGATGTAAGCAAAATCTGAATCATTACAAGCCTTGTCGCCTCAAAAGCAACAGCACCCAGTTGCAGAATCACACCCCAGCTATCAAATTTGGCCTCCCCATAAGCTGCAATCGCAACCCCAATTGAAATTGAAACCATATTAACCATAGTATCAGATTTAAACGACTCTTTCTTCAAAAGAACCCCAATAGAATACACCGCCACAGGCATTAAAGCCTTAAGCATTTGAATAAATGACACAGACAAATATATATAAGCAGAATTGGAAAGCCACAAGGAGAGAGAGTAAAGCAACCCAATTGGCACAACCGATTTGAGATACAGATCACGAGACATCTGTACGGGCTCGACGACCTTGAAGACTTTGACGAGGAGGTACGCCAAGGAGGAACAAAAGCCCATGTGGATCATGGTGAGAGAGATCGGGTAAGGCCAGTTGTACATCTTGCGATCCAGAATGAACTTGTTGTAGACAATCACGGTGAAGGAGAGGAAGATCCATATACCCACGTAGGTGTAGGATAGCACGATCTTCTTGATAACGCCTTCGGAAAGAGCTCCGCCTTTGCCCATTGTTGAATTGTTCGAAGATCTAGATTGGAAGTCAGATCTTAAGCTTAAAAGCTGATCTGGGTGTGGGATAAGGAGGAAGAAGGTGGAGTAGGAGGAGTGGGGGAATAGGGTTTGGTTAGGTGTTTGTTGTTTTGCCTCTGAGAAGAAAAGTTTGGTGAGGAGAGAGACGGAGAGTTGGAAGGAAGAAAAAGGGCGTCGGTGGCCGTATATTGGTTTGAGGTGGAATAGTATATGGGTCTATTGGGGAATGGGGGACCCATAGTATATGGGTCTATTGGAAATAAATTTCTTTATTAGGGAAAACGTAAAAAGAGATTGAGTTGAGTGAATCAAAGGAAAGCCCATTAATGAGATTTATTGTTAAACACTAGGGCAAAGATATAGATATTCTATGGAATTTTATAGCACAATATAATAAAATATTTATCAACGTTATTTTGATAAAAGACCGGCAGATAAAAAATCAATTGAAGTGATTTATTTCCCTTTCAATATATTTTTTTCTACTATAATAATTTCAAGTGTGACTAATTGTATATCAGCAAATACCGTAAAAATACATAATGGGTGATCAATCAAGGAAAAAAAATATTAGTGAGAATCAAAATCTGGAAAAACTATGCTATTACAAGTAATCAATAGGCGGTTGTTTTAAACAATTAAGATGAGCTTTTGTAAATCTATAGCACTTTGTCAAATCAGTGGCTGCAGTTCTAATCAAGGAAAATGCAAACTTGCACATTGAGAAAATAAGAAACTAATATAGATCAAGTGGTGAAAGAGATAAGTTGTAAATTTAGGCATCTTGAATTTGAATTTTGGCAACTCCATAGGGGTAGGTCATGAGGAATTTTATCCCTTACGAATATCCTGATTTCAGCGCGGATAACCTCTCTTTGATCGGATTTGAGAGAAGATTAGTCGAGGTATGTGTAAACTAATTCGGACAACCCGAACAGTTGAACAAAAAAAAAAGGCAAAAAAAAGGTGTCAATAGTGGGTTTTAAGAGAAATGTTATGTTGTCCAAATCAAAATAAAAATCTTTCATCTTAAATGTATGTGTACCACACATTGAATGAAAAAATTAATTTTTTGACACCCATAAAATAATATGTATGGTGTACATATATTTGAGATAAGAGATTTGGGTTATAATTTGAGTAGCATAGCACTGATCTGGTTTTTATATTCTTATGCAGTGAAATTGAAGTTTTAGCTTTTACCCTTTGCTTCTGTCATGTGTGAATTGTACTTTGGAAACATTGACTTCAAACCCAAAATATGGAGCCGCTTCAATCTTTCTAAGGGGCATTCGTTTGTCGTTTTTAAGCATTTTGACCAAGCAAGTGATACAAGTTGGCCACTCACTACTACCAACCTTGCCTAACCTTGTTTGATAAGCAAACAACTCAAAATTTAATGCCCACTTTATTTAAAGCAAATGAAAAGAAACGATTTAGTTAGGGATTTAAATGTTTTAGTTAGGGATTTAAATGTTTAAGCCTATGGTGTGATTATCTCAATATTAGGAATGAAATCATATTTCAAGAAAGAAAAATGACGTAGTTAAATTCGAAGCAAATTCTAAAAGTCGTGATATTTTGCCCTACTCTATTTAATTTTTGGAGTCTTAAGATTATGGGGCCAAGAGTTGTCCTCCATTCAACTCGGGTTCGAGTTCCATTCTTATTTTTTTTGGTAAAAAATAATCTAATTTTGTTTTATAATAAAAAAATAGTTATAGGGATGTAGACATTAACTATGAAAATTTAAAAAGGGTTTAACTTTATTAGGGGTGTTTATCCTACTTTATGGATAGAATTATGGTATTTTATCTTCTTATTTAATATTTTACGGAAAAATTTTTTCTTAACCTACCATACCTGATTAAATGTATTATTTCTAACTGAATTCTGTCTAAAATAATCGGGTAGAAAGTTATGTAGGAAATTAGGTGAATACAATATTTTTTAGTTATTAATTTTAGAATCATTTTAATAATTCAATTAAGTAACCTACACCAATTAATCAACATAATTTTCAAAATATTAAAAAGTTAACACATTAACAATGTTTATGCCTCTGATTTGTGGTTTCTGTATACGTTATCAATGTCAGAATGTTAAAAAATTTAAAATATATAAATGTGTGTGTATGTGTTAATTTTATATTTGTCTATGTGTGTGGGTGGGTCGGGTAAAAAGACAAAATTTTTATAAGTATTTTGCATTCTTACTTAATTTTTATGAAATACCAAATTTATTTTATTAGCCTACCTTGATGAGTCAAGCCCAAGGGTCCAACTCATGTTACAAGTCCAAGGGTCCAACTCTAAGAGGTGCAGTTAGTCAAGCCCAAAAAAGTTTGTACTCAGATAAGCTCACCAAGGTCAAGGAACTACGTCATCAAGGGGCATGCAAGGGTTATCCAAGATTCTCCTTTACCACCTTAGAGTAAAGGTTGTCAAGAGTCTCATCTTCCACTTTGAAATAAAGGTCATTAAGAGTCTCATCTACCACCTTGGAGTAAGTGTCATTAGGAGCCTCCCCCTCGCCGCCTTAGAAAGAATCAACCCTTACCTCATTCTTTGACTGATTCTCATGAAGAGCACCTTAACCGTCTCGCCCGTTGAGAATAAGTTGCCTCAATCTATTAGGGGGCGACTATAAATTATAAACCCCATCAACACTTTCTCCTCTCCCTTTCAAAGCTTGTATTCTCTGCTTTTCAAGTACTCCTAAATTAATAAAATATACAATGACTTTAGTCATTTAGAAGTGGACGTAGGTCACATTGATTGAACCACTATAAATCTCGTCTTTTTTCTTTACTTTAATTATTGTATTTATTATTCATACTTGACAGGTAGTATGAAAAATTATTTTGTGCATCATCATCCCTAATTTTTTGGAATAACCGATCAATAAGGTAGAATAAAATCGAATAAGATAAAAATATTCAGATAATCCAAAAATTTTTAAACATGTTAAACTTTAGCTGGAGTGATGGGGAAATAGCGAGGTTGAAGGGACACGTGTCACACGTCCAAGTCTAACTATAGGAAAAAGTCCAACCGTAGTTGACGGTTATTTGAAGGCGTTGAACGTTGACCCCCTTTGGCTACGAAACGTATGCATTATTGTTCCTTCAGATTTTTCTTACTCTTTTTTTTTTTTTTTTTTTAAATTTTTTCCAGATTACAATACTTGTTTCTGTTAATTTATTCTTTAAAATCCATCGGAGGATTTGCAACCCCCCGCGAGCGAGTCCTTCGCAGCGCACCCGATTAGTTTGTTTCCAAAAAGGTTTGCCTAAATTTCTTAAACCTCCTCGTCTACGTGTATTTATTATTATATTTTAACCCACAATTACTAAGTTTTTTTTTATTCGATATAAGATAAGGGTGAAAGAATAAATTTACTTGTAAAAATGAACAATAGGTGTTTGCAAGTCAAGGACTTTTGCCTTTTGCCTTTTGTAACTCAAGAATGACAATATTTTTTGGGAGAATTTCATCTGTGCTTTAAGCTTTCAAACTCTTGAGAGAAGGAGAAAACCACTTTCTTGAGATATCATCGTCTGTGTCATTTAACAATCTATCCTAATTGTGCGTTAAAACAACTTTTGATAGAGTTGGGTAAGTATTACGACAATATGAAACTAATAACCATAAATAAGAAATGTAAAACAAAAACTACGAGGATTTGTTATTTAACAATCCTCTTTCAGACATATTATCGGATAAATGAACATCATTGTGTGTGTAATTTGTCCGATAATATGTATAATTAGGTCAGTCATGGAGACAGGGACCAGGCACAACTCCAGTTTCTTGACCATGGGCATGAATACATGTAGCAGTGACTTCCTTTCCATCTCTGTCTGATTTTAGTTGTATTGACTCCATTGATATTCCATGGCAAGGTACAGATCTGCTGCAGTTGAGATTTATGGCTATTTCTGTAGTGGATGTTCCAACCATGCCCTTGTAGATCACATTGCTGATTTGAACTCCAGTACTCTTGAAGATCAAACAAATTTGAAAATAAATTTGGTCAGTTTGAAAAATAATCTATTTTTTTTTTATTTTTGTTTTCTTACAAAGTTGAATTTTTGATTGAAAAAATTATTTCAAAAAGTATTATTTTACCTGTTCTTTGCATGCACCCCGAATATTGCAATAATTTTGATCGATGATCAAAGGATTCTTCACAGAGTTAAATTCAAGATTCTCAAATGTGACTTTACGAACAAATCCCTTGCCAACCTTGGCAAATACAAGAAATTTTTAAAAATCAGATAATTTAGAGAGTAAACTATTAGAATATGGCTTTAATTCAAGGTGTAATTTAGTGGTGGAGGTGAATTGGAAATGATTTTATACCTGCCAGGTCTTGATCCGAGCTCCATTTGTAGTTCCCTTGAAGCAAGCATTCCTCACTTCAATGTTCTCTACTTGTACAAAATTACCTCCCTTTCCTAAGCTTCCAATACTAACACCAAGCAGGGTAAGATAGCACTTTTTTTTTTTTTTGATAATTCGGAGAAAATTTCAACAGTTTATTGTCGGAATCAACGATAGCCACTAGAGAAAATATTTGGGGCTTAGTGCAATACCCCACTAACCACACACACCGGGCAAATCGCAGGCTTATGCCTTGGGTAGGTGGCCCTAGGACCTGAATTGGAGTCCTTTTAGTTTCCGCGAAAGAAGTCTTACTATGTGAGCTACCTCGTTGAATTTATGGTGCATAAAGTTACGAATGGGGATGAGATATTGGCATCCAAGTCTAAATAACAAAAAAGCTCCTGCCTCATGGCAGAAAGGAGAACACTATTACAATTAGCCAAATTAGACTTGTATACTATAAATAAACTTATTATTTTTTGATAAATGTGAACTACCTCAACCACATATTTTTTGAACTTGTTATTGGTGGTAAACTCAGGACTTGACAATTCATATATGAATATCAGATCAATCGAGATATTAACTACTGAAACCCTGTCATCTGAGCTACCTTTAAATATATGAATAGTTTGAGGGAGTGCTCATGTACAGCTAATGAGGGTATTCCATCACGGCTTTTTAATTACTTCTGTCTCAATTTTTCTTTAATTTTCTACTATAAATGCAGGTTATGTTACTGAAAATATGGTATTAGCCACGTACCAATGAATTCTCCATGAGTTTTATATATATTTCTACCTAAAGAGAAGTAATTCTAGTTAAAAATCTAAAGAGAAGTAACCTACCTAATACCATGACCAGGTCCACATTCAACATGGGCTATGTAAATGTTAGAAGTGTAATCTCCGATAGAAATACAATCATCCCCTGTTGAAACCAAAAAAATAAAAATAAAAATAAAAAATTAGTATGAATTATATAACTATTCGATATTGAAAACCCGAAGAGAAAATTAGGAGGTTACCACTGCCAATTTTGGAGTTGGTGATCACCAAATTGCGAGAGGCGTGGATGTGAACGCCATCGGTGTTGGGACTGTTCCCGGGAGATTGGATCAGTACATTGTCAACTTTCAATCCATTGCAGCCCCGTACTAGTACATGGGTTTGGGGGCTGTTTGTAAACCGAATGTTGCTGAGACTGCTCTCATTGCATGAAAGGAGCTTCAAGGACTGGGAAATTGAAATGGTGACCATGTCAAATATATGATTATGAAAGTTAATGCATGGCCACACATGCACGTGCGTGTGCGTGTGAGATTGTGTGTCTGTGTGTGCGTGCACAATGTTTTCTTGTGTACACTACGTCATGTTGACAGTTTCAAATCGGGGTTAAAACATGTTAAATGTAAGCTGCGACGAAGACTTACAGTTGGTGCCAATTTTGTGCATCCCTCCTGAAAAATCAAACTAAGTGAAAGTCCATATCAGAATAAATATTGAACTTTGGAGACAAATGCTTGGCATAGTCATCAAAATTTTTATACCAGGTCCGGATGATATTTACATGATTGATCCCACCAACCCTTGCCTTGTCCATCGATCATTCCCATGCCATCAACGATAAGGCCAGTCACGCCACTAAATGCTAACCATTGACTCGCATCATGCTTTTCCCACACACTAGGCGAGTTTGGCGCGATAATTGTCCCTGAAATCTATTGAAAAATTGGGAAAAACAGAGAAGAGTAGTGATGTTTAATTTCCGACTAGTCTGTTGTGGAAGCATCAGCATCATATCAAATATGGTTATTCCAATAAAAACAAAAGAAAATCAATGAAAGTTATCCTTTTCCCATACCGTAAAATTGATTGTATCAGTCATGCATGGACCAGTGAAAATGATCGGATACACCAAAAATGTTGTTTCTTCAGGGATAACCACTTCAGGAGTTCCTGTTTCTGCACTACATGCAGCTTTCCATGCCACCAAAAATGCCTGAAAAAATTGAATAACAACTAATAAATGCTAGCCTTTACTAAAGTTGTAAAATTAAACTTATAGTCTCAAAATGAAAAAAAAAAAAAAATTTACTTTAGAGTCATCGGTATTGCCATCGCCTACAGCTCCATAATCTAGGACATTGAAACTGTCCGGATTTCCCTCAGCATTTGACCAGGCAATGTTGGAAGAAACTAGGCCAATAATGAATACAAGTGCAAAAATATCCTGCAAAACAAGAGAAGATTGTTTCCATGAACCATTATCTACTTCTTTTGTATACTTGTCAAGCAAAAATTTTGAATATGAACTAAAATTATAATCCAAAAATTATGGCTTGTCTGAGAAAATACTGACCCACCATGTTAAACAGAACCCATATCACAGAAAACAAAAAGAAACGAAAGGAAAAAAGATGGAAGATCCTGACCATGGCATATGGAGAATCATAGATGGCCAAAGCACACCAGAAGATGAAGTAATAATCTATAAAACCCAAAAAGCTAAATAATTAGTAAAAATTGAGGTTTAATGTAAAGCAAATCAAGGAATGTGTGAAAGATCAACAAAAAAACACAAACATCATATACAGCAGTGAGATTTGTCGACGATGAAAGGAAAGGAAAAGCAATTGATCCTGTCAAATGGGATGAAAGAAAATACTTACAGAGGTATATAAGCTAAGCTAAGGTTTGCAATGTGAAATGTTCTTGTATCAAGAATGAGTAGTGAATGTTTCAATTCAGAATTTGCCCTTCTTCCAAAAGATTGATGCTGTTCTCCTTAAAGATTTGATCACAATAACTCACTCCTAGGATGAAGATTTCTCACAGATGGAGATGTTTGGGAAAAAAAAGTTGGTCAAGTCTAGGAGGAAACAAAAAAGCTGAAGGACACAACAATAATGTTGGAAGTAGAAACAAAAACTTAAACTGAAGAAACTGTAACTAGCATTAATGACATAAAAAAAATGAATCAACACCACATAAATACTAATGCTTTTTTATTTTCCTCTTTCTCTCTACTACAAAAAGGTGGAGAGGGTGGCAATTTTTTTCATGACACAAGTTGTGCACCACGTGGATAGAAAAAAAAAAATGATGAATCGGGTACAGACCTAACCGTTAACACTATTGGCACAAAGTGATTACATGATAATTTGTCTTTTACGTACAAATTAATGTTTGTGGTTTGTCAGGCAGAGGTATTAAGAAAGGTGAATAGGGTTTGATGATTACACAGTGATTTGCGTTTTTGCGTCTAAATTTGCTTTTAAGAATATAGAAAATATCTAAAAGATAGGATGAGTTTAAATTCAAGTCTTATTAATGACTGAGAGAAAAGTTTAAGAAACAAGTTGAATAAAGAGTGCTTCAATTGACATCCAATAGATTCAGATAATGAATTTCAGGATTTTTGCTTTCTTATAGGGAGGGAGGAAGCATAAGGTCACTTAAGATAGATATCTTACCATATAGTTGGTCCGGGCATTCATGATCATCTAAAAAATTAACACAACAGAATATGTTTAACAACAAAAAATATTTTAAAATTTAAGAAAAATCTACCAAAATTCAATGGATAAAATCTTGCAAACTTTTTGTTATACAAATTGATCTCCTAGATACAGTTCATCACATTGATGGTGTATTTATTCTTTAGGTTTAATTGTGGATTTGTGAAAATTTCTATGAAAATTCGATAATGGGTAGGATTTATTTTTCATAATGAATAATCGTGACCAAAAACTTCATCTGCACATATAAATTCATAGTTTCTTAGATCGTATACATGAAGTAATTCTAACTTGTAATTTCGGAATAGTAAACCTAAAACATTTTCTCATCATAAATTTTTCATCAAAATAATCTTGACAGGTAAGATGATAAAAGATCCGACCTACTTGACCTCATTTAAAAAAAAGTTTATAAATTTGACTTGTTTATATATAAAATAATTGAATTACTTAAACCCGACTCATTTTAAACACAACTGACATATATACAAAATTTGCTGAATTTAAATATTTTTTTAGATTATTTTTATAAGCGAGTTCGTCAAACTCGAGCCCGGTCTCGGTTCCTTTGCCACCCCACCAGTGATAGGTGTGTATGGCTGTATGCAAGTGCAACTATCCATTGATGGTGCAGTATGGCGGCATCAGTTTCCTACAACCAATGACATGTCACAACATCATTGGTCCTCAACAAAAATTTAACCCGAAACCCCACTCCGAAACCCAGTCTCTCTGTGTCTCTCTCTCTCTCGCTCAAGATCCAATCTTTTGTTTCGCCGGAAAACTTCCAATTGTTCCCGGAAAATCTCGAACTTTGCTTCACTTTCCATCTTCGTTTGGTGACACTGACACCATTTAGCTACCCATTTCAACATCTCCAGCTCCCGAACAGGCCTCTGAATTCTCCAGAACAACAAGCGAACACACACGCACACAATCCAGATTCAATCTATTGTTCTCTCAGAAACCTCCCAAAATTTTCCGGCAAAATCTCCAAAACTTTCCTTCCCTTTCTTTCACTATTTTCCATGGCAAATGCCTGGAAAAGAAACCAACCCACAAAACTCCTAGCCCCCAAAACCCTCCTTTTATTCTTCTCCACTTCTCTCCTCCTCCTCACCTTCCTTTACCTATCCTCTCAAACCCAAAACCCTACCCCCAAAGCCCTCAAAGCCATAACTTTTGACCGTACAATCAAACCCTTTGATTGCTACAAATCGCCTCAAGCCCACCCAGTAATTGCCAGCATTGTAGAAGGCCTCAAATATCCATTTCTTTATTCTCTTTCTGATTTCGGAAATTTACCCGAAAAGCCCCACAAGAACATTGCTAGGGTCTTAAAGGGAAAACCCTTTAGAAGACCTGACATTTCTGTGACTATTCAAGAGGTTTTGGAGAAGATGAAGAGTGATGGTAAAAGGGGGATTTTTGTGGATGTTGGGGCTAATGTGGGAATGGCAACATTCGCAGCTGCAGTTATGGGGTTTAGGGTTTTGGCATTTGAGCCAGTTTTTGAGAATTTGCAAAGGATTTGTGATGGAGTGTACTTGAATAGGGTGCCAGATTTGGTGGAGGTGTTTGAGGCTGCGACGTCTGATCAGATAGGGAACATTACGTTTTATAAGGTATTTGATTGAATTCAATGCTCTATTAGTAATTCTTTTACATATTCTAGTTTGTTTCTTATTTATTCATGATTGGTTTTGTGGTTTTTAAGAATTTTGTAGGAGAAGTGGTAACAAAATGTTTGTCTATTTTTGATATATTTAATTTTCAGTGACAAATTAGGAGGTGCAAGAAATGTTAGATAAATGTGGATGGATAATTTCTGTTTGCTTATTGAACATTTCTCATTGGGTTCTTTTATATCAAGACAATACCGTTGTCCAATAAATTGAGTGCTTTTTTTGGGTTCGCGCTCTTCATACACACTATCACTATGAGGTTTGAGTCTTATTACTCGTATATACATGTGATAAATGATGATTGGTAGCCGGTCTGGATAGGTGTATTCACTCTCTGGTTTGTGGATTTTTCATTTTATCAAAATGGTAAGAGTGCTTACCTATTGTGCAATTTTAGGTCAGGATGAGATGACTCGATGTTTTGAGAAAACACACATGCAGTGGCTAATGAGTTATAAGTATAACATATCTTTTGTACTCTGTTAGTATGCTGGTCTATTCCGTGGTCATGTTTGCTTGCTATTTCCTCATGAAAGACAGTTGGGTTGGAAATGTGAACTGTTCAAAATGAGAATTGCGGATTCCATAAGCGGAAGATACATGTCTTGTGTTCTCAAAGTTGTGGAAGCATAGATAGAATATGGCAAGAAGGAGAACCACCAATGGTTTATGGCAAATGGAGATTGTGGGGTGCTGGCATAGGAAACTATCTCAGCAAAAGCCCTTGGTAGTGTGGTCTGAAATCCTGGCTCACATCAGAGGTTCAAGGCGGGTAGAGAGAGAGAGAGACTTCGACAGATATTGAACCCAAATTCTTGGCCTTAGCATATTCAGGCACAAAATATTCTTCATGGGGTGTTATATTGTTCTCATTATGTAAGTGTAATTGTCTGTGAACCTCTTGGTTCTATTTTGCAGACTTGCTATTGCTACTGATTCCATTGAAGTATAGTCCCAGAAGCAAAGCCCTTTTTCCTTTATCTGCTGCTATTTTTTTTTTTTTTTTGAGAATATATCTGCTGCTATAGGTCTTGTGTTATCTTGAGATTGTCCGTAGTACTTTTCCTGGGGTATCGCCCTTGTATTTGTACAGTTTTTTCTATTTAAAGAATACTTAACTTCTAATTAATTAAATGAATAAGAAAAGCTTATAAGGATATATTTACAGTGAAGACAGTTCTTGTTTTTCGTTTGCCCTTTTTTTTTTTGGGTCGTGATGAAGGTAGTTCTATATATAGTGGAAAATGTAGAAGCTATTCAATCTACAGCCGTGTGGCTCTGACAGAATATTGTAGGAGGTTTCATAATCCCACGGGATCTATTTGCTGAAGGTAGATATCAAATGCCTAGGAAGAAGTCATGTGATTATTGATTAGAGTCATGGCTTCTCAGTGCCGCAAGAGGGATTTTACGAGGATTGGAATCACACACAAACCGTGTGCTCTGGTAATTTCTGGGAGAATTGAACCTGAGACTTCCTTCATGAGCCATTATCTCGACCAACTCACCTACCAATATCTGATGCCTGTATGCATAAGAATTACCTGCATTATATTAAAAGAAATCTCTTCCAGGATAATATAAAGATTCTGCAATAACGAATTTTCTGGTTTATGGTGTGATTTCAAGTCACAACTCTTGTCTGTGTGGTCTAATCATTTCATATTGTTTTCCCCACTTTGTATCTCGTTTACATCGTCTATGCCTTTGAGGAATGTCGTAAATTCTGATGTGTGAGGCATATATGTCTTATGATCCAGCTATTGTTTATGCAACTTCTCTCCTACTGTCCTACATGGCGTATTCTGTCTCCGACTTTCTCATTACAATTACTTGTATACATTACTAGTTGGTTGGCCGGCTTGACAATAGTGCAGTTTCAGCCACTGGTGCAAAGATGGCATTTAAGTCCAATGAAGAGATTGCTCTTCAAGTACGAACCATTCCCCTTAATGAGATGATCCTAGAGTCAGAGCCTGTGCTCCTGCTCAAAATAGATGTTCAGGGCTGGGAGTATCATGTATTGAAGGGAGCTTCAAAGTTACTATCCAGAAAGAAAGGTGAAGCCCCATACCTAATCTACGAGGAAGATGAGAAGTTGTTGCAAGCCAGCAATAGCAGTGTGAAAGAAATCAGGGATTTCCTCCAGAGTGTTGGTTATCATCACTGCACTCAGCACGGTACAGATGCACACTGCATCAAACAGGATTGACAAGGTTATTTTTTCCATATAAACTTTCCACAACCACTCGGACTCAACCCAGCAGCATAATTGCAGTTCCTCCTATTTTTGTGTATTGAACGACAAAATATTTTTGGTGCCCTACAATTAAAAGGTTGGAGGTCCTAATGATACCACTATACCAAGAGTCGATTGCTGCAAAGCCAAAGCCAAAGTTGGCTACACTTCACCCCTTATTTTCTCATCTGCCTAGTGAGATGGGCTAAGGATGGTTGAGGATTTGCTAGAAGCTAAATGGGAGTGCATTGATAGCAGAGACGCCTGATGGCCTGGCAATTGGAATGTTGGTTGTGTTGCTTACAAGCACTTTTCACTCGGGTTTTTCTAGTTTCGAATTTGTAAGCTTTAAAGGTATGATACACTATTTATTTATTGATCCTCTTGGTGAATGGATGCTCATTTGGAGTTTTTTTTTAATAAATATAGACTTCAAATGTTTTTGAAACGTTTTTTTTTGATAGATAATGCCCATTCAAGCCTTACAGTGGCCTAAATTTAGGCTCTTTTGAATTGTTTAAAGGGTGATCATCATACCGTTTAATGGAGATTGGAACTAAAAAGTCGTCAATCTAGATTTATCTGTCTAGCACATTGAACTCTTCAATGGAGTGTTCAATGTCATGGCCAATCCTCAAGAAGTGAGGAGGAGCAGTTCTAAAATTCCCCAGTTTGTCCTGGAAATTTCCAGCTTCTTGGCAAAGGAAGATATTTATGCTGTCAAATGGATAGGTAAGTGTACCATGTTAATGCCTGTGATCATACCAGCACAAATACAACAGTCAAAATTCCACAACTACACTTGATTGGGTGTTAGAAGCCCCAGGATGAGTAACCTTTTTTGTTTTTTTTTTTGGGTCAGGATGAGTGACCCTTAAAGAAGTCATCACAATGCACCCCTTTAAGGCTGAATCAAAATAGGAAAAAAATTAAAAAAAAGTATACCATGTTGATGTAATTGAAGGAAAGAGAGATCAACAGCATGCCTAGTGAAATCCTCAGAAATATAAAGCAAGAAAGAAATTAAGTGGGCTTTCACAAACTGTCATCAAACAAATAACCCAAGAGAGCTGGTGAGTCATTTCAGTTTTTTTCTGTGAGACAATTCAACTATAAAGAGTTTAAAACTCCAAAAGCTAGCTCCCTCTTCCCCCGCACCAGCAGTAAGGATTAACACCGATAGGAAGAACAGGCTCCATTTTTCAGGTCAGTAAAAACGGGGAAGAAGATCTTTGTTACAATAAGCTAACTGAACAACTTTTTGTAATCATCAAGGCAGAAGTAAAATTTTCTTGTTTTCATCCCACATATATAGACGGTATCACATATGTTGTATCAAAGTATTCCGTGTAACAGTTTGAGCCTAGAAAGCACCTCAATACAGTGGTATCTAACTATTAACAAATCTGACAACTACAAAGATGATAAGCTATATATATGTGAAAGTTTGAAACAGATGCAGCTTCAAGTAGGAGGAACAATCTCTACCTGCAAGAGAAAAATGAAAACATGCATGTGTGTGAGAGAAAGAGCTGTGCATAAGCATGCTGTTATCATCTCACTAGGGGAAAAAAACTGTAGTTTCATTCATCACTGTTGAGTGACAACTGAAATCTTGTAACAATGAACAAAAGACAATTTCCTACACTATTCTTATTCCTTTTACGTAGACACTGAATTCTTCTGTGCCTTCTCCCAGCTATCTCATCTACTTATTCATGGAGCTAGTGATAGCAAATAGGTGCCCATCGGATCCAAAGCAAAGTTTTATCCAATGTAAACAGGGTGGGCAAAATCATAACATGAACAAAAACTGCAATCTTATGATGGTCATTTGTTTTAAGTATAACTAAAACGTAAGACCCTTCAAGGATTACATTTAAAAACTAGGTTTTTCCTTGAGGACACAATTTTAGTAACAAGTTCAAACTGAACACAGAGTCAAAATTCTTCTTTTTCTGGGGCTCGGGGTAGTTTTTGGGGGGTTGGGAAGTGGGAGGGGCAAATGGAAGGTTGATGCATAACAAACCTAATCTTCATGCTTATTTTATATTTTTTCAGACACCTCATATCACTATTAGACAACTTGACTCAACAAAGTCTTTAACCCAATTATTTTGGGTCGGTTTGATGAATTTTGTTTCTCCATTGTGCTCTATTAAGAGCTATATTTTTCATTAAATTGTAAACTATCATATCCCCTCCTCCGCCCCTTCACTATAGACTAAACTCGCTGTAAACCTTTTTTGATTATTAGTAGCGGCTCGTGAAGTAGTCCTCTTTCTTTACATTGGCACGCTTTCGAGAAGAACATAGAATAGTAGAAGATCCAGCATGCAGAACACGACGATCAACCTTACTATCTCGTTCAAAATTAATTTCAGCCTTCTTCTACCTCTTGCACTATAATTGATATGTAAATAACTCTTCTTCACTAGTACATTACGAAGGTTTGATGTAATTGTTTGCTGGGTATACAATTTGTGCGGAAGAGCCAATTGACTTCTATTTTAGAGGAATGACACCAGAACAAAACTATAACTGTATGACAACACATAATAGGACTAACCATTTCATTAAAGCTCTAGGGCATCATACCTCACTATAATAGCATGTAAGATCTCAGATGTGATGGCAGGGCTGTCAAGATCTTGGAGCTCAATCATCTAAGACTATTTGGGTCCACTAGTTTTTGAAGGGCCACATCTTTCCACCATAACATCATAGAGTTGCTTCCCATCCTATTTGAATCAAGAAAACAGCATAGATCAATGATCTCATCAAGGTGTTAAAGCTGTAGGTTCATGACGTTTAATAAGACCCAGTACAAGGTTCTGCTGCATCTACTTACAAAAATCACTGGGAAAAAGTGCACTTGTCCTTCAGGTCTTGTTTGTGTCTCTTTAAAATAAACCAAAATTGGAAAATTTGGCCACCAGAGCTCCCAATTCACAAATGTTGAATATCTGTTAATAAATAGAATAGGTGAGCCAACATTCACTCTCTGAAATTCACAAGCAAATATATCACCTACTCACTTCCAACGGTTCTTTCCACCCACAAAAGCATTTTCTCCAGATTCCTGAAGCTGGTCTCCTATTTTCACCTCCTGTGAGCATAATATCGAGAATTCTAAATTGAAAATATGGACTAGATGCATCTGTCATCTAAAAGCATAAAATATGCAGCAATCATATAGGCTCTAGAGAACCATGGAAAGTCACATTAGCATAGAGAAGATATCAAAAGAGAGAGAAAATTGGGAAGAGAAGATAAATATATACAACAAATTTAAAATTTATGTCTTTGGTGTTTGATCAGATCAGGAAACCATAGTGCAACTCAAAATAACATTGCTGTTGATTGTAAAACCCCCAATCCAGGTTATCATCACCAAAATTTAATGCTTCACCTGGTTATTGTTTGGATCTGACATCCCTGCCCCCAACTTCCCCACCCTTCAATGAAGTCTTGGATAGAACAATTCCTAGCTAACGGGAGTACTTGAGTGGGTGTAAGAGCAAGATCAACCATCTTGGAAATAACTACGGATTCACAGCTCCTATTTTCACATGCCTATCCATACTACTTATGTACAAGTGCTGTAAACATCATTGACAAATTCAGTTAATGCCACCTCAGATGGTGAATAGTTTAGTTCTAGTAGTTACCTGTACTTTCATTTCACACAAAATTCCATTGGCATCAGCTTTAAAGTTATGGGAACACAACAAAAAATCCATATATGGAGAAAGCCAGAGCTCAAGGCAGTGTGAGAGCTAAGACAGGAGAAAATTTTGTTATCTGTGTTCCAGCATAAGGACTGAGAGCAAGAGAATTACTTAGGCAAGAAGGATTTGATTTGCAAACTACCAAGATGACACATATACTGCATTGACCTTTCTAAGGTTTGCATTGGATCTAGAAATCGACACAACTGCATCGCACATAATTAACTAGAAAGCAAGAATAGATTTGACAACTACAATATTCTGGTACAAGTTCTATACATTTGTCATGCCACAACAACCATGGTAATGGCATGACAAAGGAAACAGTGTTTAAGTGATTGAGTTCTCTCTATGCTTGTGGAAAACGAACTGAACATACACTCAGAGAAGTCATGGGCTAAGGGAACCTTGTCATCAGAAACATTTAAATAGTTGAAATATCACCCCAGGGTTTTATTTCAAAATTGTTTACCAGCTTCTTACACAATGCGCGTGTTCAGTTCAACAAAGTAAATGTACATACACTGAAGAATTGCAATCAATAGGAAGTATTGAGGGAACAAACCAGAGCCTCTTCATCAAAGACAAATTTCACTCGTGTTGTCTGAAAGAAGGAAATCGCAATGTTAGCTGATCTGGAAGAACATGATAGATGCAACTTAGTGTAGAGAATGGAAATCACAGCCAGGACAACCAAACAGAGGGTAACTCTGACAAATGGCTTGTTCCAAGCACAATATCTGGTAAGTAAAATATTCCGACGGCATTAGGGAAACCGTTTCAAGTTAAATAAGGAGCACCAAAGTCCATCAATAATCACAGCGTTATCTACGAGATCTCACACGATTTAGAAGTGATTTGGAACTCTGAGAATACCTGGAACAAAAGAAGCAAACCAAGGAGACCCACAGGAGCTGCTGGGAAGAGGTTGTTAGTATAAACAAATCCTCCAGCTAAGCCTGTTTCATTTAGATATTTAACATCAGGTTTTGGGAATATATACTTTCCATGCAATCATGCCAGAAATAGAGGATAGCTAATTACAAGCTAATATATGTAAGTAGGCCAATATATTTCTGGTACCACATAATTTATGAATCAATAATCAATGAGGGATGCAGTATTATAGTTCCGAGACCCAAATTCAAATGTAACTAGAAACACGAAGATTAAAAAGCGTTTTGCATCGTACAAATCTTCTAGAATTAGCTCACTGGCTATTTTAGCACCCAAATAAAAATCAAATACAGAGTGTTTATATGGTTTGATATCTATGCCTGAAAATGGCACCGGGAACATGCATCTAAACACATACACGTTGACATAATGTTGGAGATATAGTAGCAGCCTAGTTTATTAGGGTTTATTAAGTTTTTCTCTTTTTACCTTTTTATCCTTATTGTAACTTTCATTGACTATATATACGGGGCTCTACACTTAATTTGTATCCATTTTATATAACCCTTTTAGTTTGTGAGGACCAGTGATCAGGTTGCAGATATTTTTACCAAACCTGTCACTCTATCCATTCTTCGGAAGTCAGTTGTCAAGTTTGACTTAATTGACATTTTTACGCCTACCTTGAGGGGGGAGTGTTGGAGATATAGTAGCAGCCTAGTTTATTAGGGTTTATTAAGTTTTTCTCTTTTTACCTTTTTATCCTTATTGTAACTTTCATTGACTATATATACGGGGCTCTACACTTAATTTGTATCCATTTTATATAACCCTTTTAGTTTGTGAGGACCAGTGATCAGGTTGCAGATATTTTTACCAAACCTGTCACTCTATCCATTCTTCGGAAGTCAGTTGTCAAGTTTGACTTAATTGACATTTTTACGCCTACCTTGAGGGGGGAGTGTTGGAGATATAGTAGCAGCCTAGTTTATTAGGGCTTATTAAGTTTTTCTCTTTTTACCTTTTTATTCTTATTGTAACTTTCATTGACTATATATACGGGGCTTTACAATTAATTTGTATCCCTTTTACATATTCCAAGTCATAACAACTGAACTAAAGTAGATGTTGTCTCAACTATATAATTTCAAGACAGATGATATACTGCTTATAAATATAAGCTAATAAAAACTTTGAAGTGCACAATCCCATTGAAAAAGCATACATGTGTTAATTGCGTATGAATGAAATGCACACGACACGCACCAAGTAGGACTATTGGTATTCGGTAATCTGGGTCAGGGATGACTGTTTCTTTCTTGACCTTCCTCTCAACCTGCCAAACAATAAGAAAGATCTACATAAAAATGCAGAGAATTGAGATAAATCTTGCAGCCAAAACTTGTCAATCAATTTTAAATATCATTAATCAGAACTCCCCAATATATTGTGGCTACAAATATGACATGACCATGTATTCTAACCAAAATAAAACCATCAAAAGCGAATATTGATGTAAAACAGTTAAATCTATCGAACCACTGCGGCAATCACAGCCCCCCCACTGTAGCGGGAACTGTTTTCTCTTCTCACAGAATGGTTGTTAAATATCACTTTCCCATAAAATGAGCTCTGAAAATTCCGTACAAGTCCACCCACTTCTCTATCTGCTCGAATCAACATACAAATACAACAATCAGTTTCAAGTTCAGTATAGCTATGTAAAACTACAAAACACAACACACCCATTACTTTTTTGTTTCTTTTTACAAGCTTCTCAGAATTACAGCAAAAATTGCAGAGAAGACACCATGAAAGTTATACATAATACGGAAAGAGGGTGTCAGACATGCTTACTTCGTGAAGGGAGAAAGTGAGAAGCTGATAGGAGAGCGCTCTCCATTTGGCTTATTTCTGTTTTTGTTCTTCAAAAACGAAAAAATGTGTTTCTTAGAAGGGATGAGGGTTGGGAGGCCGAGCTTTCCCGGAATTGTTTTGGAGGTAAGTTTAAAATGACACTATTGCCCTCTATTTCACTTGGAGATTGGACTTTGTCCGGTTGTTATTTATCAACGACAATTTTTTTAAAAAAAATTATTAAAATACGATATTTTTTAATTTATTTATCAAATTACAATATATTTTAAAAAGTAGGATTATTAATTCTATTTTTAATGGTCAGTTAGAAAAGGCCATTCATTATTTTTCAATCAAACATAAAAAGAAGTTGTTAAATCCAATGAATTAACTCTTAAAAGTAGAGTTGTTGATTTCGTTTTTTTTTTAAAAATCGTAATTCAATAAATAAGTTTAAAATTATCGTATTTTAATAAATTTATTTTAAAATTACTATAAAATGATAAATAACTCATTAGTCCGAATCATCAAAACATACACCCACCCCGTTTTAATTTTAATCGAAGGCAATCTACACCAAGTGGCCAAAATTTTACTATCCGAATTGGCTAATTCAATTAGAAGACACAAAAGAAAATTTACGCAGAGATAAATTTTTCATCATGTTCCAGAAAGTATTTCACCCCAAATCAATGAGTATACATACTTTGTTAATTGTTTGATACTGTTTTTGGGCTTCGTAGGTATAGTTTTGGTTTGTTGCCAAAGATCCGTCAAAAGGTCTAGGAATGTAAATGAATAACTTCTAATTTTTTTGTATGGCTAGAAAGTTTTAATGTCATATGCGGTATAATAAGAGGACATAAATGCTTATAGATCATTTTATTTTAATGTCTATACATATTAGGGTTTATACACACAAATTTGGGGGTTTTTTTTTTTTTTTTTGACTTTTTGGTTTTAATCCACTATACAGAATAATAGAAGAGGAATCCTTTTAGGTTAGGGTTTTTTGATAAATTTGCTTAGTCTGTTATTCATAAAAGTTTGAGTATCCATTATTTTTTTTTTATTTTTTAGTATGTCTTATCTGATTAATATTTATTTATAAATCATATATGGTTTTTTATTTTTTTTAACAGAAATATATATGATATAAATAAAGGTTTTTGACATATTTGTGTGTCTCACAGAAAGAAAAAATGGCAATTGAAAATTACAATATAGATGCATAGGATAATCAGATTGAGACACCACAGGGCAAGGACAATCAAATTGAGATAACACAGGACAAGGACAATCAGATTGAGACAACACAGGACAAAGACAATCAGATTGAGAAAACACAGTACAATCAGATTAAGGCAGCACATGATACACAATGGAAAGCCACAGAATTATATGGTGTAATCCAGAAGCAACAGAGTCGGGTTGGAGTATTTGCAGTCCGCAGCCTTTGGATTAGCCAATTACTTCTTTGTCTTTCAAGGAGTATTTTGGACAATGATCTCAACTGAATCAAGTTTGAAATGGGCGCGCCTTTTACACTGTCCCTTCTTGTCACTATCATCAATTTGTTTGCCCTAATAAATCTATGGTTGAAATATATTTCAACCGTAACTAAACAAACAAAATATTTGGTCATTTATATTGCCCTCCATCATCATGTTCCAGAAAGTATTTCACCCCCAACTTTCCATGTTATTCATGATCCTAGTGCCTTGAAAATCAAGGAGTATACATACTTTGTTAGTTGTTTGATGTTGTTTTTGGGCTTCGTAGGTGTAGTTTTGGTTTGTTGTTGGACTTTCCCCTGTAAGTAAATAACCAAATATCCGCCAAAAGATCTGGGAATGTAAATGAATGACTTCCATTTTTTTTGTATGGTTGAAAATTTTTAATGCAATATGCAGTATAATAAGAGGACATAAATGCTTATAGATCTTTTTTTTTAATGTTTGTACAGATTAGGGTTTATACACACAAATTTGGGATTTTTTTTTTTGGACTTTTTGGTTTTAATCCACTATACATAATACTAGAATAATAGAAGAGGTACCCTTTTAGGTAAGGGTTTTTTGATACATTTGCCTAGTATATTATTCTTAAAAGGTTGAGTATCCTTTGTTTTTTTTTTTTTTAGTATATCTTTTCTGATTAATGTTTTTTATAAATCATATATGATTTTTTATTTTTTTAACAGAAATAAATCTGTTATAAATGAAGGTTTTTGACATATTTGTGTGTCTTACAAAAAGAAAAAAAAAAGGCAACTGAAAATTAGAATGTAGACAATCAAATTGAGACAACACAGGACAAGGACAATCAGATTGAGACAACACAGGACAAAAACAATCAGATTGAGATAACATAGGACAATTAGATTAAGGCAGCACATGACACACAATGGAAAGCCACAGAACTATATGGTGTAATCCTGAAGCAACAGAGTCGACTGGAGTATTTGCAGCTCACGGCCTTTGGATTAGTCAATTACTTATTTGTCTTTCAAGGAGTAATTGGACAGTGATCTCAGCTGAATTAAGCCTGAAATGGGTGCCTTTTACACTGTCCCTTCTTGTCACTATCATCAATTTGTTTGCCCTAACAAAATCTATGGTTGAAATATATTTCAACAGTAAGTAAACAAGCAAAATATTTGGCCATTTATACTGCCCTCCATCATCATGTTCCAGAAAGTATTTGACCCCCAACTTTCCATGTTATTACTAATCCTAGTGCTTTGAAAATCAATGAGTATACAAACTTTGTTAGTTGTTTGATACTGTTTTTGGGCTTTACAGTTGTAGTTTTGGTTTGTTGTTGGACTTTCTCCTGTAAGTAAATAACCAAAGATCCGCCAAAAGATCTAGGAATGCAAATGAATGACTTTTAGTTTTTTTGTATGGCTGGAAAGTTTAAATGCAATATGCAGTATAATAAAAGGACATAAATGCTTATAGATAATTTTTTTTAATGTCTATACATATTATGGTTTATACACACAAATTGGGGGGGGGGGGGGGGGGTTTGGG